TGAGAATCAACTCATTTGCATGGAATTGAATACTCTCTTCAGGGTCCAAAGGTGTATCCTGAGCTAGTTGAGGGACCCATGTGCTCATCTGAAATAACAGATCAGGGTACTGGGCTGTGTTCTGAAGTTCACTGTGATGGAGTAGTTAAGGCTGGAGTTACGTACATATATCCTTACATAATGTATAGGGCTGAGGAATAAGTCATGCCAATATATTCAGGGATTGGGCTGTTCTTATTGCGTGAAGGGAGTCAATGCTGACCCTTAACCAGCACTTAATTTTTTATGTTTGTGTTTTCCAGAAAGAATACAAAAATATTTTATTCATACTATATATGAATCTCACACATACATAATTATTTTTCACATATCATATATGTGTGTGTATATATATATATATTTTCTTCACTGGTATCTATTTAGATCTCTAGGGCTTTGTATTATGTATGGAATGCAATATGATTATTCGGTTTCACATGAGAAAGAATACAATTTCTCCTAACCACTTCACTAAGTGTTCACAAGGCCTCATGGTGCTGGAACACGTCTCACAGATAGGAGTTGGGTCCATGTTCTCATTCTCATTGGTCTCCCTGTTGTTGCATGAGAACCAACTCATTCGCATGGAACGGAATACTCTCTTCAAGGTCTAAAGGTGTATCCTGAGCCAGTTGGGGGACCGAAACAACAGAGTATGTCAGGTGAGCTTCCAATGAACACTCCCACCATTCTGCACCATGGGGATCTCCTCCAGATATTAGAAATAAAATCTGACCGGCTGGTCACCCAGTTTCTTCAAATACATGTCATAACTGAAAGTGTCCCTATTGCAAAAAGCTTGTCTATACAGCTTTTAGACAGGGTTCGTAGGTTATGGAACCAGAAGTCAAGAAGGGAGAAGGCACACTGAACCAATGAAAGAGCAGGAGCAAAGATTCAGGAGAAAATAAGGCCAGTGTTTAAAATTGTACTCCTGCTGCTGTCTCCTAGGCACAGAGAGCAGGGACACTGAGATGGGTAGGAGGAATTGCAGCAGAGCTGATCAGGGTAATGAGCTGTGTTCTGAAGTTCAGATGAAGTGGTTAAGGTTGGAGTTAAGTGCATAAATCCTTACATAACATATAGGGTTGAGGAATAATTCCTGCCAACATAGTCAGGGATTGGGCTGTTCTTATTGTGTGAAGGGAGTCAGTGCTGAGGCCTTGTCTTAACTAACCCTCAGATATTATGGGTCTCTGTAATGGATCTAAACTTCAAAGGATTTGGGGAGAATTGTTAACTCTGTAAGCTTCTCTTTTTTCATCTAGGCTACGTCAAGGAACACTGAACTTCCATCCTAAAAATCTGCAATTCTACCCGTATCTTTTGAAGCCATTTTTATGAGCAAGCACGTTGGCAGCGCCTCACAGGCTGCCTAGCACATGGTAGCCACCAAGTGATGCTTGTTTTTTTTTTTTTTTTTTTTTTTTTTGTGGTGGGAGGCCCCAACATACTTGCCGGAGTATCTTTCTTGTTGCAGAAATACTTAGTTTAAATAAAATCATCCACCAACATATATTTTATTGTTATAGCTACTCATTATTTTATATAGTGCTTGGAGATCTCCACTGAGAAAGAAAAAGTCTTGCCAAAGCTCTGATGTGCTTGGTAGGGCCAGGACAAGCTCTCTGCATTCCTGACCTCTGCCTATATTCTTCTGTGAGAGTACATTGCCTGTCTTCCTTATTCTCAATGGGACATAGGTTACTTATATAAGAAACAGGCTCCCCATGTTTCGGGGGGGCTCCATGGCAGGCGAGATCTATAGAGTTAGACACCTGTACTCAATAAATAGATACAGCTACTGCTATTATTACTAATCATTGGCTCACTGAGAGAATTCATAGAAATGTGTGACTTGGCTTGTTTTGCTTCTGAGAAATGGAGGTTAATGCTCGTTCCTTGCAGGAAGTTCTGTGGCTTAGAAAGAGAAAGAAAATTACGTACCAAAGTGACCTTTTTCTCCAACTGTTGTGCAGTGCACAAAACTAATTAGCCAGGTTCTAATTGGGTTGAAGTCTGAGAGTAATGGAAAAGTTGCCCAGTGAAGATGACATAGTCCACAGGGTTCCCTATTTATTTTCTCTCGGTGACTTCTGTATTAAATTTGTTCAGTTTGCTGGTCACAAGCTGGTATTTCAGATGGAATGGCTTGGCAGCTAGCTCCTCTGGGCCTCTAAGCCCAGCTGTGGTCTCCAGCCAGCAACCAGGAAGCTGGGAGGTGCTCCAGGATGGCAGGGGAGACCACGGCTTTGAGTTCTTATTTGATGCATGCACCCCATCTTTGCTTGAGCAGGGAGGTACAAAGCACAGATCCACTGTTGGGCAACCATGATGGCCCACCTGCCAAGGAGATGGGAGAACCAGGGCCTGGAAAAGAGGAGCATGCGCGAAGCACAGCCTGAACCATGAAGCCTCCCCAGGCGTCAAGTCACCCAGGGGGCTGTGGACTGCGGGGGAGTATTGTAGGGTGAGGAGCCTGGGGCTCAGACCAGCTTGCGGTGAGCATCCTCCTACGCCAAGGAGCCAAAATGACTGCACAGTGCGAGGGCGGCGGTGCAGGCTTGGAAAACAAAACCTGCCTCCTCTCTGTGTCCTCTGATGGGAAGCCAGGGCCAGTGGAGGGGTCTGGTTCAGGGCCCAGAGCCACCAAAACCACTTGGCTCTTGAATGATCTGACTTAAGGGCTAACCCAAGCCTTGTGAAATCCCAAGAGAATAACTTCAGGTTCTGTAATTCTAGTGTAGACTTTAGATGCTGTTGGAAGAGAAGAGAAGGAAATAATGACCCAAGTCAGTAATTGTACTTTCCAGCAGTCCCAAAGCATAGTTTATATGAGCATCCTATAAGAGGCCACTGGCATCTTAATAAAGGTAGTTAATAGTACACATTGCTATTCAGTAACAGCCACACCTTACACCCATTTGGTAGAACCCCAAGGGTCAGAAGATGATCTATTAAATATGGCCCAGCAGGGTAACAGGAACCGACGGGTCCTTGAAGACAGTGTCCAGCCAGGGTATCCAATCTAGAATCTCCCCTCACCTACAAATCTCTGCGTAAGATAAATATTTCATTTTGCAAGCTCTGTGTTTTGTTACTTGTAGCTAAGAGCATTCTAACTCACATAATTTCTTCAGAGGCACTTCTCTAATATGCCTACTTCTGAATGAACTCATGCTTCCCACACTACCCTTTGAATACTTCTTTTACAGAGTTTACCATTGCCTATTTGTCTTACCTCTGTCATACATCTGTGAGCTCTTTGAAGACAGGGATAGTATCTTATCCTCCATCCATTCAAATCCCCGAATAAGAATATAAATGGATAAATACATGTAGTCAATTACTTTGGAAATTAGATATTGTTGTGAGTATAATAGCGTGTGTTTCTTGGGTGGCCCTTAAGGCCAACAGGGAGATTTCCTTGTCCCAGAATTCAATGAGGAAGGCTGACTTCTGCTCCAGCCTTGAAAACTCTTGTGAGGACAGAAGCATGTTCATTATTTGTCAGTATACTTTAAATCAGATTAAAGTGCCACCACCCCCCAAAAATGACACAAGGAAAACTTGATATCTAATGCTAATGAATTGTGTGTTCCTGGGTGTTTTTCCCCCCATCTTCATTTCTTATCTGCATAAAAGAATGTTCTTTTTGTTTTTGACTGACTTTACCGGAAGTCACACTTGTATGGGTATAAAAAGCTAATAAAAGTGTCTACATCAAGGAAAGACCATGATTCTCTCTCCATGCATTAAATACTGCCTGGGGAAGCCATCAACCTTAAGTTGTACTCATCCTTTCTGTGCAAAACCCATCGAGTGTTCAATGCTTTGTAGACCTGAGCTTGCTTCATCAGGATTCCTGGGGTTAAAGGTCGCAGTCTTCTGGCAATTTGGAGTCAAAAAACTCATCAAAAAGAAAGTTTTTTGATTTATCTAAGGAAGCCATCCATAAGCCTTTTTCCCCTTACACTTCAATTAGAAGAAAGAGGCAGATTTTGAAAAAAAATCATCATGCATGCAAGTGATACCAAATACAGTTGTCAAGAGTAAGGACAGCTGCATCATGGAGAAACTAGGCAGGTGGTCTCCATTGCTCTTTCCCTCCTCTCTCATCCTACCAGTGCCTAAGCTCTGAGAGTTACACCCTGAGTGTAGTTTTACCCATCTTAGTGCATGCACTATCTTTTTAAAAAACAACTTTGTTGAGATATAATTCAGATACTATACAATTCTTTTGTCCTAAGTATACAATTCACTTTTTAAAAACATATTCACAGGGTTGTGCAGCCACCACTATGGAAACCCAGAGCATTTATATCACCCCCACCCAAATCCCCCTGCGGATTAGCACTTATTCCCATTTCACCTTCTTCCTGACCATGGGAAATCACCAATCTGATTTGTGTCTCTAGAGATATGCCAACTCAGGACTTTTCCTATAAATGGAAACAGGGATAATATCTTATCTTCCATCCATTCAAATCCCCGAGTAAGTATATAAATGGATAAATACATGTAGTCAATTCTTTTCTATAAATGAATCATGCAATATGCAGTCCTTTGTGACTGGCCTGTTTCACTTAATATTATGTTTATCATGTTTTTGAGGTTCATTCATGTTATAGCTTATAATGGAACTTTATTTCTTTTTGTGACCCAATAATATTCAGTTGTATAGATACAGCATATTTTGTTTATCCGTTTATCTGTGGATGGACAGTTGGGTTGTTTCTACCTTTTGGCTGTTTTGAATGATGCTGCTATGAAAATTCATGTATGAGCTTTTGTGTGGGGGTGTATTTCCATTCCTCTTGGGTATAGCTGGGAGCAGAATTGCTGGGTCACATGGTAACTCTATGTTTAATCATCTGAGAAATGGGTTGATTGTCTTCTGTCTTTTCCATATTTGCCTGGAGACCATGCAATAGCCTTTTGATTGTTCTCTTTGCCTCCAGTGTTGTCCTCTCCTTCTGGTCAAGTCTTTTCAACACAGCAGCAGGGAACAGAGTCTCTCACTCAACAGACACTTTCAGAGCTTACATGGTGAATAAGAAGAGGATGGTACTGTCTAGTAAGCTGGCTTTAAAACATAAACTGGGTCGTGTGACTCACTGTCTGAAATTGTTCATCACAACTGGAATAGAAGCTCAGCTTCTCACTAGGATCTACAAGGTCCAGAAGCCCTCTGCTTTGCCCTCCATTCTGATTATTTTTCAGTCACTCTGGTCTTTTTTGGACATTGCCTCTTTCCTGCATTAAACCCTTGTGCATATAAATTATTTTCTTTCCTCTGTCTAGATTGGAACACAGCATTTTTCAAATAGCTGGTTAAATGAATGAGTGAATAAATTGAATTCAATAAGCTCAGCGTATTAACCTACTCAAGGCCACAGAACTGTTTGATAGCAGAGTCTCTACCAGATTCTTATATCGGAGGGTTTTTGGCTTGTTTTTAATCTTTGTTCTAGATGATTAGCTAATATATTATAGACCCTCTTCTACCTCTGTATGACAGTTTCTCAACCTTAGCACCGTTGACGTTAAAGCTGGATGATTGTTTGTGGTGGGGGGCTGTTCTGTAAATTGTAGGGTGTTTAGCAGCATCTCTGGCCTCTACCCTGTGATTAGCAACCACTCTCCACATGTTGTGACAACCAAAAATGTGTTTAGACATTGCCAAATGTCCTTGGGGGACAAAATCACCCAATTGAGAACCACTGCTCTACAGCTATTGTCTTGTTCAATGAATATTGGTGTTAGAACAGCCCAGGGCATTTTCCAATCCCTGCTCACCAGAGAGAGACTTGTGTCTGATTACCCTTTAATAAGTTGGGAAATGAGACCAATATTAATTCAGAAGGAATTTTAACAGTATAGTCAAACATACAAAAGGGTTTTATGATTAATTTGTAGTTAATGAGAGTATTTAGTCTATCAGATTCCCCGTTCTTCCAGAATTTTGGTTGATTACTATGAACTGAGTGAGATTCCCAACCACACGGGGTCAGGCAGGTGGTGAGATCTTGCCCTTTAAGGACCCATTTCCTCAAAGTGTTTTTCTGGGCTGCTTGGGGCATCCATTCCCAGGATCAGAACTTCGCGGCAATCAGAGCAACAGGAAGGGTGAACAGAAAGAGACCCCATGACAAACGGGGTCCATTTTCAAGTATTTCATGTTCATTTCAGCAGCTTGTACCTCTCCCCATCCAGCCTTAGGACTCAACCTGAGAAGCAGAAATGAACACAATTGCACTGAGCCAGTGACTTTCCAGATCCATGGTGCTCCTTGGTTCCTGCAGTGCTGTTCAAACTTCGAAAGTGGGGTTGGAGGCTCCGTTAATAACTCCTGTGAAAATATGAGCGATCTTAGCTGGAAATGTCTAAGTACAAGATTCATCTTTTCCTCCTTGGCAGAATCAATAAATTTGCATGATGCATATTAAATGTTTAATTAAAGCCCAACGCTAAAGCATTTTCAGGAAGTTATATAAGTCCTTTGGAGGGGGTCTGGAATCCAGGGGTTCTTCTGAGTTTTCCAGGCATGCCTCCATCCATCAGACTCCAGTGTCCACCTTAGTTCTGTTTCTCTTTGGTGCCTGGGTTGTTTTGCAGGTATGGGAGCTGCTTGATGTACTGGCGCGACGACATTCAGATGACTGTTAGGATTTTAAACACTGGAGCCTTTAAGGGCAGAATCACCAAACTCCTTCCTGTTAGGATCCATGCTGGTGTCCACCTCTTGTCCCCTCCCACATTGAGAAGGGAGCTGGGTATTTAGCACAGATCCTGTGTTGGAGAAACACAAAGATCCTAAGAACAATTTGAAGCTTAAGGGGAGAAAGTGCTTAGAGACAGACTTTTGCTTTTTTGGCTCTAATTGCCAGCCAGACTGCCTGGGGTCTTGACGTTGGATGTACTCCCGAGCAGAGAAGCCAGGCTCAGATGACGTGCCCTAGGTGCCCTCACACTGCAGGATGAAACCTTATTTAGTAGCTGTATTAATTGAATCCTCACTTCGCGTGGATTGATGGAATTCATATCAGAATGGCCTCTCGCTGTTGGAGATGTCCCTCGATTATTTCCTCTGCCCTCCAAAACAGGAACTTCCATTGCTGAATGTTTTTTCTGTTTGCTTATTCATTCATACATTCGCTCCCCATTCCACTCACTCACCCATTCCACAAAAGCCTATTTAGAACCCACTTTGGATTTTACAATGCATTTGTTCTAATAGTTGGCTGTTATAGAGCATCTACTAACGCCTGCTACTGCTGTAAACAATTTAATTACATCACCTTCTTGAATCGCCATAAGGACCCCAGAAGGTGGGGAGGGTGGTCATTTCTCCCTCTCTGCATCAATCCCTCTGCTTGCTTTTCTGTGTGCTTATGTTTTCCCAGTCGTCCTAGTTTCTTTCACCTCCTATTTCCTTTTGCTTTATCTTCCCTGTATCCTTAGCTGACCACATTTTAAAATGGTGGTTGTTATATTTTGAATGCACATTCTGTTATCTTTTCTTCTTACATTTAAAATCCAGTCCCTGACTCTGGCTCCAGCATCTGTTTGAGCCACACCCATGTAGCTGTCTGTTCCAGCCTTGCTAGTTTTCTTCTTCTGCCTCTCATGCTTGCCCCCATCTCAGAGACTTTGCACATTCTCTCTACTTCTTCCCATCATCATTTTCCTGAATCCTGTTTGCACTGTTGACCCTGTTTTAGTACAACCTTGTGAGCCAAGAACATTTTTTTGTACTTTAAGGGTTTTTTTTTTTTTTAAGAAGAAAGAGGGGAAGAAGGAGGAAAAAATGGGGAGGAATACCAGTAGCAGTGGCAACAAAGACTGCAAGATAAATAAAGCTTAAAATAATTGCTATTTGTTTCTTTACAGAAAACGTTTGCTGTCTCAGTGGATGTCTCCATCATGAGACCGTGAGCTCCATATGGAGAGATATTTCTTGCTCACCATTTTTTCCCATGTGCCTAGTGCAATGCCTAGAACATAGCAAGTCCTGAGTGACCTGGTCAGATGGCAGAATGAATGAATGAATGAATGAATGAATGAAGAGTTCTCATCTTCTCACCTTTAAATCTCCCACTGCTTTGCTCTGAAGTCTATTTGATGTTCACAGCCACCTCTTAAGTGATGGACTTCTTTCTCATCTCTTACCCAGTGATACTGCCTCTCAACTCATGTCTGATCCATCCAATATCTCTCTCCAAATTTTCCCTCATCTGTGGCTTTTCTGGTCAAAAAACAAACAAACAAACAAAAAAACAGAAACAAAATCGAAAAATGTTTGTAAAATGTGTTGTAAATTCACATTTTAAAAAATCAACAATATGTTGTAAAATGTAAACCTTATCATGCCTCAGTCCCTCTTAAAATCTGTAGCTCTCATCATCTTCAGGGTCAAGTCCAAATCCCGTAACATGCACACAGGGAGGCTCACAGTCAGGTCCCACCAGTACCTCCAATGGCTCTGCACCCTTGCTCCCCTTCTGCAGCACATGGCTCCCAGCCCCTCAAACCCTTGCAGATCCCAGGGTGTGCCTTCTTTCTCTCACTTCTGTGCATCTCCATGTTGTTCCTTCTGCTTGTCCTTCTGGTGAACTGCAGTGCACAATGGCCTTCAGGACACAACTCCACTCTCACCTCCTCTGGGAATCTTTCTCTGACTCCTCAGGCCAAGCTGAATGTGCTTCCTTCCTGCCCAGACGCCTCCCTGATTTACATCTATCCAAACACTGACAGTCCTGGGCTGTAATTACTTGTTTGAGCATTTCTCTCTCCCTTTAGTCTGGGAATTTATTGAGGACAGGACGATGCCTAAATTCGTCTTGTGTTCTTTGCACCCTTGATGGTCTGCAGCCTACACTGAATGCTCAGAATTGCAGCTGACAAACTGATTGGACAAATGAATGAATGAATGATGACCAAAGTGGTTTCCCATTAGCAAGGTAAGGATGGAATCACAGGTTATTATTATTATTATTATTATTATTATTTTAAATGTCTAAACTCATTTAGTCTTTGCAACATCAAAACACTGTTGGCAATTTCCTTTACAACTCATGGCTAATTTACAGAAGGGATTTTTATAAAAATGGTTTCCTTCATTCCCATGGATGGTCATGCTACCTGGGAGGCAGGTACTGAGGTAGCAGCCATCCTGGTGGCTTTCAGAGGTCCTCAGCCTTCCTTTTGACTAGCTCCAAAGCACTATGGGAGGCTTCAGGAGTGGAAACCTTGCTGACTCAGATTTCAAAGTTTGCTGCAAGTAAATTTCAAAGTTTTCAGTAAGGTGCAACCCTATTTATATGGACAACCAGTAGGTAACCCTAAAAAATTTATCTCTTCCAGGGTGGTGCAAGCATTGTGAGCTTGTTATCCATTCATTTTTCTGTTTTAATTTCTGGAACTATTATCATGATATTGTTTGGCCAAGAAATAAAATCAATATTTAGCGGTCAGAGGCATCTCTACTTGGATGCCTAGGTTGGAAATCAGTTGTGTGAGAAAGAATATTTTTCAGGCCAGTTTCTGAGAAGTTGGAGATATTGTTAAACACTTAATGAACATCTCTGGTTGTGGGGTAGTGTGCATCAAACAGGTGCTACAAGTAGAGTGGTTGAGAGTTTTAGTGGTCTGAGTTAGATGAGGGTTCACATTTAGCCTGCTAGAAACCAACTGTGTTATTTTGGACAAATGAACATGCTCTCCCTAGACCTTGGATTCTTTGCTGAAAACTCAGTTGTGGCAAATGTTTAATGAGATAATGCATACACTATGCCCTGCACAGTGCCTGGCATGCAATAAGTGCTCAGTTTCTATCAGCTACTGTGGAAAGCAGGCTGGTCTGAAGCAGGATCATTAACTTGAAGTATTAATGATCTGTTATCACTCATATCTTTATTGTCCTTTTTGTACTTTCTAAATTTTCTGTAATAAACAAAAAGTACTGTCACAATCAGAAAAAAAAGTAATAAATTTGATTTATACTGTTAGGGTCTTCAAGGGCCCCCAGATGAACTGATATCATGCACACACACCTACTGCAAGGGTCTCATGAACTCCCTCAAACTCTCAAAGTCATCCATGACTCAAGAAAAATGTTCTCACTGATGTAAAAAGAAGGCAGGAGAAGAAATGCATCTGGGCCATAGAGGAGAGTTCTGTTACGGTGACAGTGCCTGCTGTCACCTCCATAACTCACAAGGCACCTGGTCAGCTACGTTCTATGATCTGTTGGGAATGCAGGACTAGAGTTCCTGAGAAAGGTCCCAGCTGGAGAACATAGACTCGGGGCCCCAAGAGAAGAAGGAGGGAATGTGGGAATGGAGGTGCCATCAAAGGAGAGAATTTAGAAAAGATATGAAGGTCAGGAGGTTAGGAGATTCTAGTTTTCAACCTCTCTGCACAGTCAAAAATGCATCCCCAAAGGTCGGAAGTGACAGCAGGCACTGTAATGGACCACACACACTGAGTTTTCAGGAGACTAACCAACCCTTCACGTGGTCTTCCGACAGCTGTCATTCAAGGCGATTATAAATCCCCTCCTGCCACATCCACCCGGCTGTCTTCCTCACTGTTCCTTCCTTGGGGTCAGAGGTCATGCAGCAAAGTGGGTTTCCCTGTAACCACAATGCAGCTCCCCTAACCTTTTTGGGGCAGATCCAACTGCATTTTGAAGAAATATTTTGCTAACGAAAAATGACCAGGATTCTAAAATTTGCCTTCTTTGGCATTTTTATAAATCAAATTTATTACTTCTTTTTCTGATTATGAGACTACTTTTTGTTTATTACAGAAAATTTAGAAAGTACAAAAAGGACAATAAAGATATGAGTGATGATAACTCAGAAACAGTGGTTGCCCATAGTGTTTTCTTTCAAGTTATTTATTGGAATGCATACAAAACATATTTACACAAATATGCAAATGTCTACTTAAAAATATTTTTAAGAGAGCTGAGATCAAATTGAGTGTACCATTTATATCCCACTTCTATATGGCATTTTATATCCTACTTTCTACTTCATGATATACCAATCCATACCTTTCTGAGTCATTAACTACTCTTTGAAAGCATGTCTTTATTGGACACACAAAATTTAATCACGTGATTATAAAAATAATGTATTTGATTATTTTGCTTATTTGGGGCCATTGAGATCCTTTCCAGTTTTTCAGTAATACACCAACTGCTTTGATCCATATCCATACACACGGTTGCTGAATATCTGATCATTTCCCTAAGATAAATATGAAAACTTTGGGCTGCTAAGCAAAAAGGTGTAAATATTTTAGGGATTTGATATGACAAAGTTATTTTATAAAAAAGTGGCATCTGTTTTCTACACTGTTGCTAATGTAATGTGATGCACAGTTTTTAAAAATCTACATCAATTTGAAAAACAGTATCTCTCTTTTAATAGCATTTTAACAGCCAGCCTTGGAATGTTTTCCCTTGACATCTCTGAATTCTTGTTCAAACCCAGGGGCATCCCCCAAAAGTCTCCCAAGTAGCAAATAAGGGACTAATTAGGCAACTCTGTAGACATATCTACATTTGTTTTTCTGGAAAGATAACCATATGCGTGTTCACCTAGTTACATAGTACATATGTCACATAAAGAACAACAAACGCCAAATCCAGTTCACTTCAAAAGAGAAGATGAAGGGCATCTTTTGAGAGTCCTGTTTAAATCGTTAGTTATATAAATTAACGACTCAGCCATAAGCTATGGTGCCTGGTCCACAGCCAAGAATAGCAGATCATGTTTAGCTGAACCTCTTTCAAGAACAGAAGATAGAAAGAAACCTAAATTGACTGAGGGCATACCAGATTCTGTATTGGGCTCCATTGCATACATCCTTTCTTTATGCCTCACAAAGTATTCTTTCCTCTGGTTCTATGCATAGAGAAGTCAATGTCAAAGCTAAGACTTGCCAGGGCCTGCAGCAAGGCCTCTAGGCCTTGCAGTATGGAGACAGAAGATTTGAACTCTGGTCAGCCTGCTCCAAGTCACTGTGTTTTGTCACCAATTCCTCTAGAAGCTGTCCCTAAAACAGATCTCTGCCCACAGCAGCCACCTGGACAGCACATCCTTTTACTGACTTTTCCTTCTTGCTCTCTCAGAATCGCCACTCCTTCCCTTCTACTTCCTTGGTTCAACCCCCAGATAAACTACCTGAACATACATGCTTATTGCATACTTTCCTTTTGGGGTCTCCAAACTAAGACATTTACTTAAAATACCCACAGCTGCAGAAGGACCCAGTGGAGCAAGGCACTGTCCAGGTGCAGGCTTTCATTTCCTTCTTAGATCTTTAAGTTCCCCAGGGGCAATTTCACTGTGTCCTGCTGGGCTAAACCTCTCCTGGGAGCTACACCTGACCCGGAGGTTTCACCTTCTTCACCTTCCTCACAGCTGGGCCTACGCATGACCACGAGTGAGTCACAAGTGAAGAATGGAGACATTTCCCCTGGCTGCTGGGCTCTGGGTCCTCAAACCACACTTATGTTTTTATATATGTGTTGGGATGATTCAGCGGAAACTTCTGGTCAAACGGATCACCATAGCAACTTTCAGTAGACATCCAGCATGCAAATTAGAGAGTGGAAAGAGACACTTTCTCAATAGCCCCAAACCACCATCCTCTGAACCCTTCATGGATTGAATAGTAGATACTTTGAAGGTTTAAACACAGTCAGCTTAAATGCAGGGTCAACACCTGGCTGGGTCTGCTGGTATCTTCAGATGCTAAAACAAGAAGAACAAACTGGTTTCTACACTGAATTGTGTGTCTAGCAGGGAAGACATCCCAGCAGAGTTGGGGACAGATTCACATGTGCCCTGTGTCATTCATAAACCTCAAGATCTTGGCCAAATTATGAGTTTGTAGAGTAATTTGGCCATATTTGTGGCCAAATTACTCTAACACTCTCCAATTTGTATGCTTTCTTTCGCAAAACTCAGCAACCTGCATTTTCTGCTTATTTACCCCATGCCTGCAATTGTCTTGCTTTTGATTGCACAGTTCCTAGCTTGGAACGTTCTTGTTTCTCTAAGATCTAGGGCTTTACAAAGCTCCAGGCTTTGCAGACTTTCCTTTTGGGGGCTCCAATCTTAAAATACCTGCAGCTAAACTTCTTTAAAATGTCTTTAGGGATATGGTGTGTCTGAAATAGTGATTAGAAAGTGTTTCGCATATGTTAGTCTCTCAATAAATGGTAGTTACTGCTAATATTTTCTTTGGAACTTCTGAAGCCTATTTTTTTCCTTTGGGCCTCAGTCTTTTATTGAATGTCAGTTGTATGAAAAATGTGATGTGGATATCCAGGGATACAAATACCAACATGGCGTCTGCTCTGAAGGAGCTCCAGGAGTGACTGAGAAGGATGGAAAGCAGTTATGGGTCTTAGGCATTACTGGGGTAACTTGTGTTCAAATTAATCTTAATGGAGGCCTCTCACTTAAAAGAACAGTCTATGATACACAGACTTCAACTTACAAAGCAAATGGAGTGTTGGGGAAGATGAAGTTATTTCAACATCTTATTCACTGTGTTGGATAAGAACACCTATGGCTACAAGCAATAATCAATTAACAGTGGCTTAGAAAAATAAAGATTAATGCTCCCCCTCTCTAGCACGCGCACACACACACACATGTGTAAAAGTACTTGGCTGCTTGTGTTAGTTCATTGGGTTAATAATGTCAAAGCTAGCATCTAAGCAATTGTTATATCTTTTCCTTCTTGCTTATCACCTTACCTTCCCAGGGTGGCTGTTGAAGTTCCAGCCATCGTGTCTGCATTCCAGGTAGTAGTAGAAAAAAAAGAGCAGAAATTGATGGTAGCATTGAGCTGCTTGCATTTTATTGGTGAGAACTGAGTCACATGACTATTCCTGGCTATAGTAGAATCTGGAAAAGGAATTGTTTTTTGGTGGAAACGCTTTGCCTACATCATAAGCTCCCAAATGCATGGACCTGGAGTAGATCCTATGGATGAACAGAGAACTAGGCACAAGCCATTCCTGACCTAAGGAACTCCTAGTCTAGCTGAGGAGGCTGGATGCCAATCAAACAAGAGCACATGCCTTGATTTAGAGCATGGCAAGTTTCAAATTGTCTCCATCTGTCCTTCAAATCCTTGGACAGCCTGATGAGAAACCAGGCTTGGGCTGTCAGTTTGACTTGACCAGTGACCCCTAGGAGGAAGCACGTGTGTGACCCAAATTGAAAGGGTAGGAAAGGAGCTATACCAGGTTTTGCCTGTAGGCCTCCTGTCTCTTAGTCCTGCGCTCCACCCTTTTGCACAGCTCAGCTCTGATGCAGGGGTTCAAGGGAAGTGGGTTGGGTATGGAGGGAAGCAAGGCCCTGATAGAGTGTTTATGACCCTGGCTTTGTCTCTCCCAGGAAGAGTAGAAAGATCATTCACGTTCTTCGGTACATGGGGTCCGAGGAGAGACATGAAGAACAACAAAGAGCGTCTACTCCATTTGGACCTCCAGGGCGCCCAAGGAGAACCAACTCCCTTGTGATTCTATTTGGTCGACACATTTTGTATCATTTGTGTCCTGGCAGGAAGGTGTTCCCCCGGGTAATATGAGGAACATTTTGATCACGGGGATGTTGACAAAGAGTAGCCTCAAGTATAAGAAAATCCTAAGGGAAAGTGTGATTTTCTGGTGCTACCATTTTCAGAGCACCTGAACCACCTCCTGCTGCTGGGGGAGGTAAGGAAAGGGAGGGAGTCCGAAATTCAGAGAGAAAATGAGAGGAGAGGAATTGAGAGAGAGTGAGCAAGAAAGAGAGAGAATGAGAGAGAGAAAGAGAATGCTGGCTAAGTTGACAGTGCAGCCCACCCTGGTTTCTGATCGCCTTCCAATGTCTCTTGTAGGTCGGACCCAAATGGAAACCTGGCCAAAGGGCCTGGGGAGGCCACTGATCACAAAGATGTGCCTCCCGGAGCACAGTGCTGGGTGGAGAAAGGCAGAGGATAGATCTGGAGAGAGGGACAAACAAAAGACATTCAACACAAATTTGCATGAGAGCAAAGAGGTTGTTAACACACCCTTAGTCCTTTACCTCGTTACAATATCCCCAACAGTGAGTGTTCCAGAAGCTACCACAGAGCACTTGAAAGTGGGACTTAGGACAAAGCCCTTTTGCCATGGGGTGCTCTGCTTTTGAATGAGGCCTCTGATTGCCACCGTCCTCCTCATCCAGCCCAAGGTCTCCACTCTAGGACAAAAGGTAAGAAATGCACTATGGTGTAGTTCTCCTTTAATATCCTCCAGATAGTTATGCTTTGGTGATAGACACTCAGGGCCAGTTTTGTCGCTGTATTCTTTTCATCAATCAATGATATACTTGAAATTGTAAGAACATGCATTTCGCTAAGTGACTTGGGTTGAATGAAGGGACACTTTTTATACATTTTTGGGAAACTTGTTCAAGTCTTTCATTGTAGTGCAGCAAAGAACCACATGATTTGCAGAGTCAGCAGATGTTTAAAACAAAACATCTACAAGAGGAAGGAGAAAATATATATGCATATCAATTATATATATGTATCATGTATATTGATACACATGTGTGTATTCATTTACTGACTTGCCCTAATTGACCAACTCAGTCAAAACAGAGGTTACAGTAGCCACATCCACGGGGTTAATTTGTTTTTCACAATACCGGTGAAAAGTGATGTCAGAAGCTTCTGTGCCATTCTCCGGAGCTGCGCCTGCCCTAAGGACTAGGTGTAGGTTTTTGCTGCTTGGGAAATAGGTTGTTAGGAGTGGTCAGGCGCACTCCCAGAGACACTTCAGGCTCCACTTTTCAGAGGATCACTGTTAATTCCGACACCAAGTTTCAGGTTTGGCAAGAGGCACATAAAAATATTCTCAAGGTATAATAATAGAAAAAAAATCCAAGCTTCAAGGAGGATCAGCTTTGCCTCTCCCAACTTGCCTCTGCAGACATAAAAAGGGTGGGACTTTTTGGGAGAAGGCGTTGTCTCTGGCAAGAGACACAAGGCACCAGATAGCATCATTTGAGATATTAACACAGTGGTAGAGGGAGAGAGAGAAAGAGACCAGTTTATGAGGAGAGGTTTCCAGTATGGCACACACCAGTGAATTGAGACGACATTCTACAGGAGCAAGTTCATTTATCTCATAAGCATTCACTGGGCACCTTCTGCGTGTCAAGCTCCGCGTGGCATACCATTTCCTGCCCTCCAGGAGGTGTTAAACAGATGGACAGACAGACACCAGCAAATCAGAGATCCCAGTGTGAGTCATCATGTAGCCTGTGATACAGGGAAGTGCAGGACGCCCCAGAATTGGTGCCAGGTTGCATCACAGGCAGAAAGATCTGGGCTTCAGATATCAGCAAAGCATTTCTCCCTCCCCCAACTCCAAATAGCTCTGTTGACAGCAACTTAAAACACAAATCAAAGTCATTATCGTGGGAAAAGCTGAACTTCACTGGATTTTGTTTACTTCTCTTAAGTCTGATATTGTTTCTATTTTTAATTACATGGAGGGTGACCATCTTTCATCTTCCAGTTCTCAGAGTCTCTAAAAGGCTGAATCCACCCACACTTGGAAGCACAGAATCCCCTCTCCGTCCGAACCTGGGGTTTTGGGGAAGATACTAGAGAGCGGGTGATACCTGAAATGTATCATGCTCTAAAACAAGACAGACAGGGTATGCTGAGGGGAAGGAACAGTGATAGAGATGCCTGGATATTAGCATCCTTGACTGACAATCCTAGGGTTTCCAAGCCCCCTCTTCCCATTTCACATCCAAGTGTCCTTTGGGATAGGAAACAGGAGGTGACAGCTGTGGGTCAGTAGTGTTTCAGTTAGATGGCACTGTCTAGCCCTCAGCTTAAAGTCTGGCCTGGAGTGAGGGCTCTGGAAATGTACGATTATTGTTGCTGTGGCCATTCATCTTCTTATTGATACTTATCTCTTGGAATAGAGAGCATCAACATTCCTGCTCCACATTTTAAGAGGCTGCGTGGTGCCGTCAGGATTCCACGCTCACACACAGATTCACTCACTGAGCATTCACGCAATGAAAACTCCTTCCATGGTGCTGGGTCTTGGAGCAGAGCCATGCTCTGGGTCTCACCTGGACTTCAGCCTTCTCCCTCCAGAGGAAGGCACTTAGGCAGAAGAGTCTGGGGGTTACTTCCAACATGGGACAAGACCTCGGAGAATGAAGATGCACAGGAGAATTTCACCAGCGACCCAGAACTCACACAGTGAAGGAATCCCACGGTTGTCTAGCTACCTCACAATAAAAATGCCCTCCACAAACTCTCCCAAATGAATCTTATCCTGAAACCAGCACATCATTTTTTGCTGTTTGCAAACTTGCTTTCAGGCACATTACTGACAGAACACTAGCAAATGCCGAGGAGTCAGACGGGGAAGTAACATTTATGGCATGTCTGTTATGTGCCAAACCCTGGCATTTCATATACATGATCACCCTTCATCTTTAAAACTCTAGGTGTTAGGTGGAATTGCCTCCTCAAATTATAGATGAAAAACTGATACCCAGAGAGGTTAATTCATTTCCCGGACATCACAGAGCACACAAGAGCCTTGTTAGAACTTAGCTCTGCCCTGCATTATTTGGAGCTTTTCTTCTTCTCCTATGTGATGCAAAATTGGACCAGGAAAATTGCCCTGGACTTCTGCCAATGGACCTCTAAGAAACCACACAGGAAATAGGATATATGCTACCTCCATAAACTAGCTGCTTTCCATGGGTTTTTAATGGCATCTATGTTATTATCGGGAGAATTCCAAGTATACTTTTAACCAGATAGACCTCAGACTTTAACCTAGCGGGTCTGGAGATTGTAGCAAGACCTTAGGTTGGCTGGGCCAGGGGAGGTGATAACACCAGGTAGGTGGATGATGCCAGAAGAAAGCCAAGTAAATATTTGCTAAGGCAAGTACTATATGGGGGTGACTTAGAAGGTTCTAGTGGTCCTGGAGCAGTGGACTATATGACCAGTACATCATTAACCATTTCTGGATACCACAGATCCAACCAGATCGCCTCGGAAGGAAACCAGCCTGTGTTCAGAGTAAACAGTTAACTCTTCTGGGCTGGAAGAAATGATTATTCAAAAGTTGGTCCCCACATACAAATGCAAATGACATCCTGAGACACATGAATGCTAATTTCTCCAACGAAGTCTGTAGACAAATGCTAGTCATTAGAAACATTTCCGTGCATTTATATTAGGCTGTCCTCTAAAAGACTTTTTAGACAAATATGTCATCAAGATATTCAAAACCATGTAATCTTATCCAAAGTTTCATCTATCAACAGTACAGTCTTCGTCTCTTGCAGCTGTGTGTCAGAATGCGCGGGGAGATTACTCAGCTGATGTGGCTGAGCCGGGGAGGGGCCGTAGATTTGGGGGTCCACATAGCTCCCCAGCAGGAGGGTCTGGGTTTCCAGGTGGGCCAGGCCTTTTAGCCACAGGTGAGTGATCTGAGGTGGGTGAAGGATGACCCCTAACAGATAAAGAGAAGGATTCAGGGGGAGGCTCCTTCTCGTGGGCACTCTCCACCAGGCTGCCCTTGCCTATGAGTGCTACTGAGATGACAGACTAAATAAAGGCAGAGTAGCTGGGAGTTCCAGATCTTGTCTTCACCACCTTCTGCAAGGCAAAACCTCAGGCTTGTAGACCGCTCCCAGGGAGGCTGAAGGTGAGGGGAGATGGTTAGACTGAAATGACAGCACTTTCAAGCACTCGATGGGAAGGCTGGGCTTTAGGTCATGTCTCTGTGTTTGTGCCTGTTTACTTCTCTCTCCTCTTCCCTTCTCTTCTGCCCTCTCCTCCCCTCTTCTGCTGTCTCCTCCCACCCTCTTCCCTTTCTTCCTCTTCCCTTTCCTCCCATCCTTCCTCTCTTCTTTTCGGGAAAGGGTGTTTGTTAAAACAGGTGCTCAGAGGAAGCCTTTGTGATATCCCTGGGGATTCAGATATTACTCTTATTTGGTTGTTTCCTGAGGTTGGGTCACTTTATTTAGTGTGTGAATGGATGGTGGCTTTTGGTACTGAAGCAATAACATTTTTCTTGATGAATTATGTGATAATATAAACCCCTCAAATAATTTATTTATCTGTTAATCCACTCATTCATCAACATGAATATTCATCTACTTATTTGAACATTTATCCATCCATCCATCCATTTATCCTCTACCTATCGATAACAATGTCTGAAGAATGCAAGAGTGTATGGCATTACTATTATCCCATTTTGTGGTTGAGGCATAGAGAGGTTAAAATATTGGACCAAGACCGCCCAGCTAATAAGGGATGGTGCTGAGACTGACTCATCTGTTCTCTGGTTCACTGCATTTAATCCATTAACAACCATTTCGTGAATGTCTGCCTTACATCAGTTATGATGGGAGGGTAAAATTTTCTCAGACTTGTCCCTGCCCTTGAGGAGTTCACAGTCATGAATCAGAGCCAAATATCATGACTCTGGCTATGAGACTGGCAATGAGCTGCATGTCCTGTAAAGGTGTGGCCCAAATGCAATGGCAGCTGTAAGCTGTTGCAAAAATCCACCAGCTGAGGTGCCTGGAGTGGAAGTGACATTGTCAGGGGTGGCCAAGTGTCATGGTTCTCACCATCCAACTTCCATGGAAACACCATCCCAAGGGTACCTTCTGTTTACAAACGCATGGCCTGTGAATCTCATCCTAACAGCTGCTCCTTTGCAAGGGGATTCAGGAAAGGACAGGCCTGGATGAGGCCCAGCTCCTCTGTAGATGGGCATTGTATAGCTACACTGTTCTCCAGATAGCACTTCTTAGAGCTGAGGATATAATCTGTGACTCTTGGCTCATGCCTGCCAAGGGCACGGATATGTCTAGAAAGCATCAGTAAATTGTGGAAGGCATCCTGAGTGGAGGAAACAGTTTCTATGAAGACACACGGGCTTGAGTGATGATGGCATGATAGAGTAAGCTGGTTTCTGTTATTGACACACAGGTAACATATGATGGGGTGGGTAATGGAGGGGCAAGGGAAATATCTCTTGGTTAAAATTAGGCATCCCTTGTGAAGGGTTTTACATGTCAGCTGAAGAATTTGGAATTTAAAGAAGTCATAAAGGTATTTGGCTAGGGGAAATATATACCCAGATTAGCATTTCAGAAGGATTTCTCAGCAGTGGGTAAGCACACTGGGTGGCAGGAGCACTACTTGTTAGTCGGTTGCTGTGATAGTAGAGATGAGGTTCTATTGTAGACCCAAGGAGTAGGAATGTGATACCGACAGCAGATTCTCAACATTTTTGAAAAGTAGAATGGAAAAGATGTGTGATCGATTGGCATATTGGTTAAAGGAGAGGGAAGAGCTAAGCTCAGCTTTCAGGTTTGTAGTATAGAAACTTCAGTGGACCCGAGGTCAAGACCAGCCTGGCTAACATGGTGAAACCCTGTCTCTACTAAAAATGCAAAAATTAGCTGGGCATGGTGGCAGATGCCTGTGATCCCAGCTACTCAGGAGGCTGAGCCAGGAGAATCGCTTGAACCCCGGAGGCGGAGGTTGCAGTGAGCTGAGATCGTGTCATTGCACTCCAGCCTAGGCAACAAGAATGAAACTTTGTCTCAAAATAAAATAAAATAAAATAAAATAAAATAAAATAGAAAGAAAAAAAAAGAAAGAGAAAGAAAGGAAACTTGTGTGGATAGTTATTTGTCAAACCTGATTAGGAATCATGAGAGAAGAGGTCAGCTTTGAGGAGTCTGAGATGCCCAAGAGACATTCTTTGGTGACATCTAGTAGATAGCTGAAAATCTGCCTCTGGAGAACAGAAGATGAAGGTCTGGCTAGCGGTGGAAATTGGGCAGTCATCAGCAGATAGGTAGCATACATGTCATTAATGGCTATTTCTACACCCATAGCAGATATCACTGATCGATCTTGGAATTTTATTGTCTCATTGTGCCTGGCTGCTTAAGCACAATGATTCAGGCCTCTGTTACTAACAGACTGGAGCTGGCATGGCACTGAATTCTTTTTCATGGCTATTATAGAGGCCATGACCGAAGCCACTGAGGGACTGGGAGTGTCCTATGTGGCGAGTGAAGTGCATTTAGGAGACACAGCTGTAGTTGAAAGATTGCTGGCTATGATAAAGGATGACCTGCGTTCACATTGTATTGTCATCACTTAGGGCCTAAACTCTCTAGGTCTTATTTATTTGTAAAACATGGATAACAGAATAGTACCTCCTAAAATTTTGGGCAGGATTATAGTCATGTAAAGTGTGTAGAACAACACAACCTTCACTAAATACTCAATAAGAAGGGCAAAAGAAACTGAAAATTAAAAGGGTTCCTCAGAGACTGTACAAATTCGACTTCCCTGGCACATCTGAACTCAGACAGCCTGATTTGAAATACTTCTCATCACAGGAGATCAGCCGGCAGTGGGGAGAAGGCTAAATTCTTCTCCCATCCCACACTCGGTCCTCTGCATAGGATGGTTGCAGTTTCCATGGAAGTTTTGGTACCTTCTCAAATCCAAATATGGTTTGAGGGTCTGAATTCACGCATTTCTAGAACTTCGCCTCCTAATTTTAACAGTTCCTCTGTGTGCAGTTTGGGAAAAGGGATGGACACCTTGATTTAGCATGGCGGCTGCCAGGTCTGAACTTTCTCTGCTCACCAAGAATGGCAGATGGACAGGTGTTCACTTCCGCCCAGGAGGAAAATGAGTAAGAGTTCAATTCTTTCAGATCAAGAGGTTACTTTTTATTTCAGGCTACCAAGCACATGTTACCATAGAGAGGCCTTGTGGCATGTCTAGAAAAGCATGTTACAAAAACAAATACATACAATTTATTTATTTCTCTGGTTTGCTATTTCCCAATCATTCTCCTCAATCTAAAGGCACAGTTCCAGTCCTTTGGGTATAGTACAGCATATAAAGTGTTTAAGAGAGAGCCCTCAAGTTTATGCAGCAAGTATCAAATTTTTCTGGGTAAATAAATGATTCTGTTTTCTGAACTGCATCTCTGCCTGCTCAGCGAGCCTTTAATAATCTTGCCAAGAGCTGGGAACCACTGTCTATGGGCTCCATAGCAGGAGTGGTTGTTTCTTTTTGGAGTAGAGGGGTGGAACTTTGAAAGTGATTTTTCTCTGCAAATATGCATTACTTTGAATGCAAAGCATGACACGATTTCTTAGTTTGGACACAGAATTTCTGGTGACCTTGCAGTGAGGACACCAAGCCCTCAAGTTGTGACAAATCACAAGAAATGCTGAGAGCCTGGCAGGCCCGTTGATATTTCTGGTACGATCTGTGTCCTGGTGATCTCTTGTTGGGTTTGCATGGGTTTTGTTTCTCAGAACATTGATTGAGTCGAGGGCACGTGTTTAGTCTTGACTTTGAATTCCCTGCTAGTGTGTTGGTGGGTATGAGTGTGTCTGTTTGTAAGAGTAGTGATGTTTTTGTTTTCGTGCTTGAGAATGTGTGCATATATTTTGGTGTGGATGGAAAGAGAGAAAAGGCCAGAAAGACAAAGATGGAGAAATAAGAGAAGGTAAAGGAAAGAGGAGTAAAGTTCATGGTTTAAACATACCTGAAATGATGCTGCTTGGTGGACTGCAGTGTGGGATGAGCGTGCATCTGCTCTCAAGTTGAAAATACACAGGCAGGTTTTCTAGTTCAAAAACAGGGTGTGGGGAAGGGGTTGAATTTCAGAAAGCCAACTGTGAGGTTTCAGGGCCTGCGATACTTACAGCTTGATTTACAAGCAGGCATTTTCCATTTACAAACACTGTTATTTTGATTTTCAGTCTCTGCCTGCTCAGTGTGGTTGGAAGGAGGTGGACCAGTAAGATATTTAATACAATTAATCATGTGGTGATATCTGAAATACATTGAAGGCTATTTTCAGGATGGGCAAACCATTCAAAGTCCGGGACTTTCTGTCTGGCACTGTTGTAGGCTCTGGGAATACAGCAGTGACCCCAGTGCACAAAGTCCCTGGTTGCATGGGGCTTTATCATCTTGTGAGGACACTATCATTAAATGAGTGATTCAATAAGGAAATTTCAGATAAATTGGCTAGTCCAATTATGGATTAAAATACTGCTGCTTTCTTCTCAGGTGGGTTGATTCGATCACACTCCAGGGGCCAGCTCCCGTCTCTGAATATTCCTTCCTGGGGAATATTCATCTCTGGAATAAAATCTGTGTACAGACTGCCTACTCTTACCAGACAATTCCATTCCATTTGAAGTTTGTTTTCTTAAGTTCTCTATGTCAGTGGTTCCTAATCAGGGGTGATTTTTCCCCTCCAGGGGACAGTTGGTAATGTCCAGGGATACTTTTATTTTTCAGTGTTTAAAATTTTGAGTCAGGATCTCGCTCTATCACCCAGCCTGGAGTTCAGCAGCATAATCATGACTCACTGCAGCCTTGGCTTCCCAGGTTCAACCAGTTCTCCTGCCTCAGCCTCTGAAGTAGCTGACACCACAGGCGCAGGCCACCATGCCCAGGGGCACTTTTGGTTATCTAGACTGGGAGATGCTACTGGAATTCAGCGGAGGCCAGGGATGCTGCCAAACGTCCCCCCTGCCCGTGCACATCCTACCATGCCCATGGCAGCCCCCTTTATCAAAGAATGAGCAAATTCCAAGCCTTCATAGTGTAGAGGCTGAGAAACCCTGGTTTGCATGTTTACTTTCTGTTTCCTCCACAATGAGAAGCTATACTTTCTTGTCTCCTGTATCCATACTATTGACACCTTGTAGCTGTTTCATAAATATTTGCTGGCTAGCAGTGCCTATACTAATGCTCAACACACAGAAAGTGATAGGACATGTTTGCTGAGTGAATATATGATCAGCTCGGTGACTTAATAGCCTTGTGACCCTGGTGAGTCATCTAACCTTTCTGAGCTCCCACAACAACCCCCATCACTCCCAACAAAGAATGATCAAGCCCAAATGTCAATAATGCCAAGATCGAGAAAGTCTGACTTAAGAACTGGAGGCTGAACTGGGGCACTCATAACCCCAGGGCTTGTTAGCGTGTGTTTATATGTACATGTGTGTGAGACTTGCCAGGAAACCAGGAACTACCCCTTCGAGAAAAACCTTCAGCACAATGATTTGTCTCTTTCCATAGGAAACGTGCCCCCTCTGGACAGTGAGTTTGGATCCCACACGACCTTTTCTGGGAGCCACAGGCAAAGGCTTTTGCCCAGTGGCTTGCAGAACCAGGGCTGTGAAGAGCCAGTATCCTTGGAAACTTGGGGCTTACGTTGGTGATTAGTATTCTCAGAAAGCCCCACCCTTCCTGCCTTAGAGCATTTGTTCAAAACATATTTTCTAACAACATACAGGATCAGCCTGAAATTTACTCTGCCTGTAAATTCTGCCCCCTGAAACCACTTCTTAACTCACTCATGAACTCCCTCGGAACAGGATAGCAGCACGCTCGGTACCTGAATGAGTTTACTATCAGTGCCGTCTGAGGCAAGGGGTGTTGGGAAGAAAAACAGAAATGAAATATCTGGGAAATCTGAGACATTGTTTTAAAACAACAGTTTTTTAGGGTGTTTGATTTACTATTCAACTGTGCACAGCTGCCGCTCGGAAAATAGGATGCGTGCCAAGCCAAGATAGCTGGTGGAGAGGGTCGGGGAGGGGGAACAAAGGAACCCACAGTGTGTTTGCACACTTAACATGTTAACTTCACTCTAGAAAAATCATTGCAGCTGACCGTTCCTGGGAAGCCATCAGCTCGTGCCTTCATTGCTGTTCATCTGTGGAACTGCTATTTCCCCGCTGCTGTTGTCTTCTTTGTCTTAATTAAAGAGATTTAGGGGACTGCCCTGCCCTCAAGGTGCACATTTTTAATCAGTGCTTGACAACTACTGACTTCTGTTTTCTTCATTCTGGCATCAAACCCACCTACACGTTGATTTGGGATTTCTTTTTAAATTGAAGTAAAATTAACATAACATAAAAGTGACCCTTTTA